TCGAATCAGGAGCACGAACGTCCCACAGTGTGTGGAGACCTGGGCTTGGCATGGTGCCGTTAGCCACGATGCTTTTTGGGTGCTTCGTGGTGGCCTCCTGGCAGATGGATTTCGTTGCGGGCGAAATGAAGATCAGCTCAATGGAGTTGTCAGGCATGAGAAACGCCAATTCACCGAAAAGAGGAATATAGTTCAGTTCGGTTTCTGGTCCTAGGAGACAAACAGTCAATGGTTGTTTGCGATTGCCAAAGTTCGCCTGAGTGAACTGGAATTCATGGTGCAACCTTTGGTACACCGTCATGACGTTGTTCAACAACAAGGGCGCAATTGTGGTCTTCGAGAGGCCACGGAACTCCAAGTAATCAAGTAATCCTTCCAGCCGCGCAGACCTTCAGCTGGTGGCATCGTCTTTGGAGGATCAGACGGAGGATATTCGTTACCCTTTAACACTTTCCAGCCATTCTTCAGCGATGGAAAGCTTGGTTTGAGCAGCATGGCGCCGTTTTGAAACCCCGAGGGATCCTTGCCGGATGCCATGTATGGTGCTCCCATGGTGTCGGGCTGTGCCCAAAATCCTACCTCCGCCTGACCCAAGACCCCACGACGGGCTCGAAACTCGTACTCGAAGAAAGTTCCCTCACGAGGATGGTGATCGTTTGCCCACGAAGAAAAGAGAGACTCGCGAAGACGCTGTCCACAATCGAGGTCATCCTCAAACTCGTTCTTGGCCTCCAGGAGCTCGGCACACATTGCCTTGTGCGACCTTGGCTTGGTCGCTCCCTTTCCTTGACCGAGCCAATCTTTCACGTGACAATCCTTACTGCAGTACTTGACCGCTTTGCATCGACTGCACTGGAGGAAATCTGTGGGTAGGTCAGCGTCCGTCATGCAGCCATTGCAAATAAAGTTGCAGAATGGTTTCCCCGGTGCATCGCGCACCTGATAGAGAGGCAGATGACGCTTGGCATCACACTGACGTTTCGTGGTTTGCATAGGGCTCATGCCAGTGTTGGCCATGATGCCGGTTAACATTTTCATTTGTTCCATAGGAGACATCTTCATCATCATTTCTTTGGCCTTGCCTGGATCCGAGACATTCATTCCCAACTGAGCAAACTGCTTAGCAGCTCCTCATCCATTTTTGCACAAAGTCCGCCATTGTTCCTACCGTACGGTACCGTAGTTGCCTCGTTGTTTGCTTTGTTCAGGTAGCGTACGATGTAGGTTTGAAGCTAAGATAGCCGCTCGTCCACTAAAGGAGGGCAGCTTCTTTCGAGTCAATGGAATGATAGGATAGCGCAGCAGAGAGAGGGTGGCCATAAAGGGGTAGAAGGCAGCAATTTGATTGGTCGATGAGTACCGAAGAACAACAATACGTCAGGAAGTAATTTGAATTATTTAACGCACCATTTATAGAGATTACGGAGTTAACGTGCTACCAATTCAAGGATTTTCGTGTTTTCAGAAGAAAGAAGAAGGATTCATCGCGATCCATCGACCATGACAGGCTCTGCCGCTCCCACTCGACGGTCATTTCTCGGCCAAAGGCAACAGCAGCAGCACCATGGACCACAACCACGCAGCCGATGCAGCACAACACACACAAAATGAAGGGATGGGCTGCCAGAGTCAGTCGAAATCCACAGCAGAAGAGAGCATTCCAACTCGCCACAACAACATCCAAGATCAAGAGAGAGAGAAGGAGCCAAACAGCACTGGAAGGAGGGATAGCAGAAGTCTTGATCCACTCAAGACACTGTCCAATCTGTAGGCCAGAACTTGGTCTCAGAGTCCCCAAGAGAGCACACTCTGTCTTCTGTATTAAGAATACAGTGACAAAAGGACAAGGACCTTTGAATGCGCTGACAATGGAGACATCAGAAAGCAGGAACTCACAGGCAATTCAGTGCTCCTCTTCCACTTAATGAGAGAGGAAGCTGGGGCATTCCACAAGAGAAATGGAGAAGCATTCTTTGCCGCTAGAACAACACAGCCAAAGCCACAGCAGTTCCCAAAAAGAAAAATGTAATGGCCACTCCAGCTGTGTTCGTGAGAAAGTCACAGCTCTTGTTGAGGATGCCACCTTTGTGGAAAAGCACAAGACCAAAATACCCCTGGCATGATTGCAATGGAGAAGCAGTGTCAGAATCAAACTTAAGAATCAATTATTCCAGCCAACACTTTGAAGGACTCACCATACAGTTCCATCCACAGAGAAGCAATTCAGTCTCCCACTACCACTCCATTGTTGGGCAGAAACTACTCCTGTGGACTGGAATCGATGTGGATCCTGTACCTTGTCCTGATGGAAGATGCTCTGGCCAACTCAAAAATGAAAGAAGCAAATGGTCGAGGAACAAGACTCTGTTTCCAATCTTTGGCATTGCTGGACCTCCATCTTGGTGTATGTCAGTCATGGTTGTGCCAATGAAGAGGAGATTGATCAATAACAACAGAGGTCTGTGTCAATCCCAGAGCATGTTCATTGTGTACCAGTAGAGCCAAAGTATGCTTTACCAAAACAGACTATCACTTGGAGAGAACAGCAACAGAAGTGTTTGATTCTATAATGTTACCTATGCAAATGGAGACCTCTGCAGCCGCCTCATCTACAATGCAATAAACAGGAGTTCATTAGGCCATGATGTCCTACTATTCTTACTGGCAAGGTAATCAGAGGGAACCTCCTCCCTTCCTTCCAAAGATGGAACTTACATCAGACAATACCCTCCTCTTGGTGACACAATCCGTGACTTCTTTGCAGGGCTGCTGCATCCAACAGAAATCCTGGAGGATCAGTGACAACAGGACAACAAGGAGATCAAAGTGTCAATGCAACAAATATCTTCTGCAAGACCAACCTTTCCAGGACAAAGAACTACATAGAGAGTTGGGCTGCGGCTGTTTGGGATGCTGCCACGAACTGGAGAGATAGCTTCTGCGTGCTGGTTCCCCACCAAGACAATCCACTTCTCCCATGCTGCCATGCAGCTAGCAAGGGAGCAACTTCATCCCTGTGCATGTAGTGACACCTGGCCCAACAAGATGACTACTGGGAGTACTTTTCAGGTATTGAGGGAAGACTTGGCCTGTTTCATTATGAGAAGAGGATCCTGTCAACTTTGAGGAAGGCCACATTGATCACTTCCAAGCAATGACAGACCTTTTGGACTGCCTGTATGAGTACTTGCCTGAGGACTATGAGAAGCTTCTCTATGCTCTGAAACATTGTCTACTATCAGCTGATGCAAACACTATTCCATGGTGAGATCTCGACCTGCAATCAACCAAGGTCTTCCGTGACGATACTCCAAATACCTAAGGAAGAAGATGAGAAAACTGAACAGAGGCAGGTCTCTGCTAGTGAGGGCAGCCACGCCAGGAAGACTGGATCCAGTCAAGAACTTACTTTTTCACTCAGACACCAAGCAGCGTAGAAACTTGTTGAAAAGCCATTCACTGGCTGACCCACTACCAATTGAGCAAATGTATGATACAATCCAACCTTCTCCAACTCCAAGCACAATCTTCCAGAATACCTATCAAGGAGAGGAGAGTCAAAGTTGAGGCTTTCCATGACAGTTTGCTCCTTTGGCAATGTGGAATGAGAAGAGCCTTGCTGATGCCTAACCTGCTGGACACTGCTGATACAACCTGAAGATTCTCCACAAGAGAGCCTTCCTCTCAAGAAGCAGTGAGGCAGAAAGGAGGTCAATTCCAGGTGGATGGGAGAAGGTTGTTCCATACTGGAACCATTCAGAGTTGGCTTACTAATACATCAGCGCGGTTGGTCTGGATCACCATTTCCAAATGCAGGCCATTGCCAGAGGATGGAGAGAGGTTCTTCTCAGATACATTGTTGGCATTCAAACCACAAAGGCAGAAGTATGCACCCAATGATTGCTGCTTGTGTAGATTGTGCACCAGTCCTGTGGAAGCTTCACTACCTCAACCCCAGCCAAAGCCAGAGCCACAACCACAACCAGAGCCAATGCCAACCAGAGCCAATCCTCAACCAGAGCCAATACCTCAACCAGAGCCACAGCAATACCACAGCCTCCACAAACAAGAACAACAAATGAAGCTGCTGTGGCACAAAGAAATGCTTATGTTGGTAACCTGCTTCTATACCGACAAATTCAAATGATGCAACTCCAACACTTACAAATGCAGCAGCAATTCCAACCAATATTGCCATCTCCTTTCCAGCAAACTCCTCCACCCAATGGCTGCTGTCACAAATACTGCCATTGGTTGACTCACCGGAGAGGTAAGACCACCACATGAGCCTATTGCCAGCTCGATGGAGTCATCAGGCTGGTAGGAACAACAAATAGATACATAACTTTCATTTCTAATAACACCATTTACTTACATTCAATGGCCTCAAAGATTGTCAACAAAACTCTCACTCATGGAGACCAAAACCTTCCGGTCGCAGGGATCCGGTCCCTCCAGCATTGGTAAGGGTGAGACAACAAAATTGTACCATTCTGGATGCTCGCAAGTCCCAATTCCAACATGTTAATCAATGATGCTTGTCATGTGGGAGGAGCGGCTTGCATAGTCATCCATGATAATTGCTCAAGAATAGGCACATTGTAGTTGTCGCGCACACAGTGCTCTTTCCAAATCACATACTTGCAGGTGAATCCATTCCTTGTGTCCCTCAACTCAGTGAATGGGTATGCATTAGCAACACTCGGAGTCAGTATCCACTGCGAGAAGTCCGGTGTGCTTTTGATCCTCATTGTCGACGTTGCTGCTCGGTGGGTGGAAAACGACGTTCGATTCTTTATCCGGTTGTAGAAGGAGCTACCTGTAGAATGAGATAATGAAGAAGAAGATACAACGACGGCAGATAACGATTAGTAGCATGCCATTGTTGCCATTGTCGATACAAATAACAACAAAGTAACACTCACCAGAGATATTGGTAGCAGCAGTCGGTAGCAGCTAGCAGTCGGAGCGAGTGTAATGTTGATGTCGCACGAGAAATAATGAAGGAAAATGGGAGGGTCTTGTTCGAGCCAAGGATTGGGAAAGAGCCAGTCGGTTATCCGTTGAAGCCATTTGAATTGTGCGACACCAACCGATCAACGTTGACGTACTTCATGACGTTATATATGTTCTTCGGACGTCTTTCATAGGGGGAGATGACCGGTCATTGACCGATCCCCTCCTTTCTCTAAGTATTTGATCATGTCAGTTTGGTTCCGGTTGGATCTGCTTGCTCGCGATTCGGAATCAGGAATCCAACCGTTAACCCTCTCCCTTTCTTTTTTCTTTTCCCTCCCCCGCGCTGCTGCCTAACCCCCCCATAATCTCCAGGGTACTCCCACCACGGCCACAAGCACAAAACTTTGAGGGAGTTCCGCGTCTTTTTCTGAGTCATGCGAAAAATATCTTCATTGGATACCCACGCCGAGCAGCTCCCAACCCGAGCGCAGGCAAATCAAGAATTCAGCGATGCTATTGGCCACTCGCTCTTGTTTCAATCCCGTTGTTGCTTTTGTTCCTAATTATCGCCTAACGTTAGCGGCTTGGCTTCGACAACATGTTGGATATCTCCTCGCCAATTTGGCAAGAGGAAGTATCCATCTCGTGCTCACAAATCGCCCACCTGCTCTAAAAAGAATTGACAAAAACAAACATCTATCATGTCCGGAAAGAACCCCCTGTTCCCCGTCCTTTGGCTTATCCTTCTCGTCTGGGTGGCTTGGCCCGTCGCTCTGTTTTGCGCAGGAATCTGGATTATCTTGCAGGTAGGTTCATTGAATTTCGTCGCGAAGTTAACTGATGGAGGTTGTTTTTCCTCGTCTTACCCATTCCTTGTTGCGCACAGCCATTCGAAGCCTGCTTCCAATTTATTCGAAAGACAAACAACTTTTTGGAAAAGTTGATCACATGGCCTCGGGATTGCGGAAAGGCCATCATGGACTGCTCCCCCAACTGCCCCGCTCCTTATTAAAGCAACTAATACAAAGTTGAGAGGATCGCGACGAGAATACTGCCGGTTTTGAGAACCTCACAAAGGAAAAGCATCAATGCCTCGATCTTTGCATGCGCATCGAACGAGGGGTGTGTTTTTGTGTGGAACGCCAAGTGCAAAGAGAAACTCAAAATGATGAGACTGAATGACTTGGTACAAGTGAGAATACTGTAGAGAATGCTTATTATAGTATAGAAGGAACATTATCCAAAACATGCCTGCCTATGCATTTAGCTACAGCCAAACTATGCCTTCATCGTTATCCATCTTGACTCCCGCCCATTGCCCATTTCGCATACTCGTACGGGCATGATAGTTACGGATCCCTGAGGTATCGTATCGTAGCTACTTGGCCTCGCTCTCCACCCGAAGAAACTGCGTCGGCCGGGCGGACGATAATCACATTGACGGAGCATTAGCCCCATCATCCCTGCCTGGAGCGCATTTCTTCTCTCCACCGGGCAAACGACCTATGGTCTCGACATGACGGTGTCAGCCACACACACGCGCGTCTCCTTTGCGAGTGCGATTTTCCAAACTTGAAGCCCTTGGCAAGGGAGCAGCCACGGCTCGTCGACGTGGACGTATTGCCGGTGGATTGGGCGAGCGAATCGAGCGAAGTGCGATGCCCAGACAGCAAAGGATTGTTCCCATCCAGCCAGACTTCTGGTTGCCCCGAGGGACTGCTGCGTTGATATGGCCAGAAAGCTGGCCCGGTTTGGAGATGTCTCAATGATACCTGATGAGGGATTGAAGTGTTCCAGTTGATTGTCTCGCATTGTTGGCCAACCAACTTCCATGGGCCCGGTACACCAGACGCACGCATCGCCATTTGCATGACCACCCTTTCAAGGCTCCTTAGTTAGGTTCAACCTGTCCAGGCAGGGCGGCTTAAAATAATGGACCCCTATCTGATGAATCGAATCCAGTTTTTAAAAATGCCAAAATCGAAGTCAGCTCCTCTGAGATAGAGCCAATCAGTTATTCTGTTCCAGACAGTAGTCTTGGTAGGACGCATCATCATTTGCATTGAGAGAGGCAGGATGAAACCTTCCAAGAGTCCAGGATTCGGTAACATTTCATCCACTGGGTTGGCCATTGCCGAGCTGCCTGCCAAGCCACTGTTATCTCCCCAAACTTTCTGCTGCTCCCAATCTCTCTACTAGCTAGCTAGCTAGATGCAGAGTAGCTGCCTCTTATCTCACAGACCCCCATGGTTGCTGATCCTTTTCTACACAGACCTCCGAAATCCAAAACACAGCGAAGAATTCTGGGCTGAACCGACTTACCAAAATGAGTACTGTGTACTGTACTCTCAAGTACTTACTAGTATCAACATTCATTAACTCTGTCATTGAATCTATGAGTCATCAGTTTAGAGTTTTTATGTCACGTGGACCTCACGATGACTCTGATCACTTAAGAGATCATTTCCTTCGGACCGGTACCACCCTTCCGAATGATCACTCCGAGATCCGAGATCGCAACTCTCAACAAGCACTCTCAACCAACAACTCGTTCCTTCCCGCTCTCCAGGAGAGAGCTGTGGGGCTTGACCCTCGCAATAGTTTGGCATCAAAACCTACCATGTCGTCCAATGTCCAATGGAGGAAACAGACTTCGAATTCCTGGCTCAGGTCTTTTGGGCGAGGAGGATGCTTCTGGAGACTTGAATTTGCGGCGACTTATAGAGACCCGTGACGGGCTAAGGATCCGATTGTCACGAGTGAATATTGGCCCTCGAGGTGGCTGAAAGTGCGCAATTTGGTAAAGGAATGGTTGGCCGGGTTTATTTGAGGGGCAGAGTCTCGTCGCCCCCCTTGTCGACTTGTCGCTCATTCCGTGCTGGAGAGGAGAGAGGAGCCAAGCCGCTACCAACGAACCACCGCCAGGGCAAAATACCGATGATGATATCAAACGAAAAGAGCTGCAGCGTCGACGGGAGGCAGCTACGTCGGCTCGACAGGAGGCATCAATGGCTGCTCCGTCATTATCGGATCAAGACAGAAAGCCATCACCGAAGGAGAAAGAGATGAATCAACCAGCTGTAGCTTTTGGCAATGATGAGACTGATCACGAGGGCAATCAGAAGAATGGACGAGATGACGAAGAGCTCAACTTGATGAAATTGTGGCACAACGAAGCATGATGACTGGGGTAAACCAGAACACAGAGAGCAGTGAGCCACACCCAGCACCAACACGGCATTTTCGCAGGAAGACTATGTGACAGAGATGATTCAGCTGGCCGTTGGAAGTGGACACCAGCAGTCACTTGATAGAGACGATGGGCCCAGAAACAGAAATGATAACACACCAACAAATAGGAGCAGCTCATTGACAGCTTCGACGGAGTATGATACGACTTCAGCAGCATAGTCTTCCTACTTGGGCCCAGCGTCCCGGAGCCTACAGTGGGGCACCAGGTGCTGACTATGAGCATGTTGCTGCTGTGAGCTATGGCAATTTGGGCAGTTCCCAGCTGGAACATGGATTTTCTATGCACACAACTCGTGATCCCCCTGAACAACCGCCTCGAGCGAGAGGTGATATTGAATCTGCCGATCAGATGCCACAAAGAAAGGGCAGTGGTGGAAAGTTCCTAGGCTGGAACAAGAAGGCAACTGTTGCAGCTGCTGTGCTGTTGGCGATCATACCGGTAGCGATTATCATTTCCGTGAGCGTCTCGCTTGCCACCGGTGGCAGCGACAATTGGCAAGAGACTGGATTTCTTGATCCAGCTACAAGCGTAGACGCTGGCACAAGCAACGGCTACAACGAAACAGTTGAGGACCATTGATATGGTTTCGATTGTGGCATGCTACCCAATGCCCACAATGTGACTTGGGCAGCCATGGTTGACCCAGAGTCGCCTCAGTACAAAGCCTACGCTTGGCTGAGGGGAGATCCTGACTTGAAGCGATATTCTGCATGGCGACGCGAACAGAGATTTGCTCTAGCGACCTTCCTCATCGCCTCCAACGTCGAATCAAAGCTAAGGGCTGGCTTTGATTCGTGCCTGGCTTTCACTTCCTGCGGCACATCGGGTCGGATCAAGGCGATCACGCAAAACAAAACAAAACAAAACAAAACAAAAGGATTTCCTGGCTTCAGCCCCTCCTTGCCCCCAGAGCTGACGTTGCTCACAGACTTGGTCGAAATTGACGTGTCCAGGAATGTCCTCTCAACAACATCACTAGAGGATTTTGTTTTGTCCGCGGCAAGCTCAGCCCCAGCACTGCAAGTACTCGGTTGCAACCATTGCAACTTTGGGAAAACAACACTCCCAACGGAACAGTTGGACCTGCATAGCAATCTAAAAGAATTTCGAATGGAACAGAGCAACATCACCGGGACAGTCCCCTCGGAGATTGGACTCTTGACATTGCTGAAAGGTTTTTCGCTCGACAGGAACCGGCTAGATGCAAACCTTGCAAAAGAGATTGGAAGACTGACACAGCTCGAATTTGGAACCATCTAAGCACAACTATCCCCTCTGAGATTGGACAGTTGGGAATGCTGCATTTTCTTTTTCTCCAATTCAATAACATCTCAGGCCAACTTCCAAGCGAATCTGATTACTGACAGTGCTGCAAAGGCTGTGGCTCCACAATAACACCTTAGTGGAGTGCTGCCTAGTGAGTTGGGAATCCTTTCAGGATTGTCGTTGAAAGTCCACATGAATCCAGGTATTGAGCAGGCAATCCCAGAGGAGCTTTGTCGAAACAGTTCCAAGAACGAGATTACTACGAGCTGATGAATTAAATCTACGAGGATTGCAAAGGTCTTACCTGCTACAACAAAAAACATAATACTGCAATTACTAATTAGTTAGAAGTTCAGAGAATGTACTCCCTTGGATACGCAGAGCCTATGATACCCAAGGAGACACCTGCTTCCCACATCTAGTAGTGTCAGTGCTTGTATACCTGGTAGTGTGGAGCTGTTGGGAAAGGGGGGTGGACTACCGGTATGGTGCCAACTACTACCCCAGGTTGGTCCACACATCTGATGTCTCAATGGGACAGATCCAAGGAGGGTCCAATGGAAAAGCAGGAAGGGCAAGTGATGCGGACCCTTGCACCCGAGACGGCAGTCGCACATCGTTTGTTTTTAATAAAAGTATTTTTATTTTAAAACTTTTAAAAAGAGGTTTCATTTCAAATGCACATCGCGCGATCTCGCGCGATCTCGCGCGACATCGCGCGATCTCGCACCTTGTGATTTTAAGACTCAATTTGAAATGAAACCATCTTTCAAAAAGTTTTAAAATAAAACTTTTTATTTTATTTATTTTTACTACTTAGAATGAATCGAATGATTCGATTCATCATTCGATTCAATCGAATCGATTCGAATCGAACATCGAATAATTCGATCATCGGCTTCCTGTCACTTTTGTGACCTTCGCCAATTTCCCACAAATTTCGGGTGTCACCCCTCAGTGTACTGCATATATGTGTCGAGTTGTTAGGCGAAAGAACAAGTAAAGGGGGGTTGCTAAGAGTAGGGACAATGGTTGCAACTAGCACTACCACTTCCAAATACGACGGCGAAGGCGAAGATACCGAGTTGACAATGGATATGGACGTAGTGGATCTAGATGCACCAGATCCGAGTGAGATTTCTTCGAGCTCGGATGGAAGTTGCTTTGAGAATGAACCAGAGCATGATGAAAAGAAAAACAACGGAATCAACCTCTTATTACATTCGTTTCTCCCCGAGGATCAGTTCCAGCGATCCATGGTCTTGTTGGCCTCAGGGACCCTCCTGTTTCTGGTTGTCATTGTCATTCCCGCGGCAGTCTTGTGGTCTTCTTCTCCCAAAGAAAGTGGAATCGACCACGTCTTGCTGCCAACGGCCACAGCCACAACCTGGGAAGCCATTACCAACGACCCGGACTCTCCTCAACACGCGGCATATCAGTGGTTGATGGAGGACCCGAAGCTGGCATCTTACGAGGCTTGGAAACGGGAACAGCGATTTGCATTGGTGACGTTCTATTTGTCATTGAATGGACCTCGATGGACTGTACATGGAGAAAACGAGTCTCGAGAGGAGGGAACCTGGATCGACCATCTCCACGACGAATGTGAATGGACACCGGAGATGATATCCTGCAATGCCAATGGACGCGTCCAACGTCTCGTCACTTCCAAAATCAAAGGATTCAAAGGATCCGTCCCAGAAGAAGCGCAACTGCTGACGGACCTGGCCGAAATGGACTTTTCCGACAATACTCTGCTGCAATCTCTGGGGGACTTTTTACCTTTCCAGGCACTGCCGTCACTGCAGAGTCTGGTTTGCAACCGTTGTAACCTCGAGGGGACCCTCTCACCATCCATTGGGTTTCTGACCAATCTACAGCATCTAGCGTTGGATTCCAATCCAATCGCGGGCGGTCTGCCCACGACACTGGGCTTGCTGACCAACCTGCAAAATATCAGCATGGTCTTTGCCGAACTATCGGGGCCACTGCCATCCGAACTTGGCCTCCTCAGCAATTTGCGTTTCATGGACTTGGATCACAACTCCCTCTCGCATAGTCTCCCTTCCGAAATCGGAATGATGACTGCCTTGGAATCACTCGTCCTCTACAACAACAAGGTGGCGGGGACACTGCCCAGCACCATTGGCCTCCTGACAAATCTTTTCAGCATTGGTCTGTTGATCAATCGACTTTCGGGCAGCATTCCATCCGAAGTGGGAAACTTGTCCCAACTGACTTCCTTGTCCCTGGGTTACAACAAATTGTCGGGTCTCCTCCCCTCTACCATTGGTCTCATGGAGTCCTTGACATTTCTGGATCTAGAAGCCAATGCTTTGACGGGATCTATCCCAAGTGAGATTGCCTTGCTGGATTCCAATCTCCGAATCATTGACATGGAACACAACGACTTGACGGGCCGAATCCCACCGGAAATGGCAACCATGTCCAATTTGGATCTTCTCAAACTAAAAGGCAACAATCTACAAAAGCCCGACCCAGGTGAATTGTGTCCTCTGATACGGGAGGGTTTGCATCTCGAAATCGATTCATGTCAATCAGTAGTGGAATGCTGTCCTCCTCTCTGATGATGAGGGAATCCAACTACGTTTCTGTGCGCTGCAGAATGAAGTTGAGAACATACCCTAGCTAGTTTTTTTTAAAAGCGTGTCTGCATAATTCATGGATTCATGAGCTACTCAAAATGTGGTCTTCCGCCCGAAGAAGCTGCCGGGGACTGCACTATGGTCCTTCTGCACATAAATTCCATCCGAGGTGGGAACCTTACTTGCTCATCCAATGAAACAGAAACTTGCGTGTGTGTCGTCGCTTTCAGCATCGGCCGCACGAAGTCCTAGCTAGTCTAGTAGGCATCCTTTATTGGAAACGGTTGGGGTGAACGAAAAGGATTCGATTCGATCCGAATCTAGCTAGACTAGACGTATTCTGCTGAACGTTGCTTTTGGAACTTTCAAGCTATAGCTGGCGGAGCACACAAGTAACGTCATTCATGGCCAGCTTTATAGATTCTTTGTTATTGACTTAGTATTAGCTAGTTATTACAAAACACAAAATTGCACAACTCGTTCTATCAAATGTTTTCTTTTTCTGCTTCTGTCTGATGTTCTTGATTTGCATTGCATTAATTGTCATGTAGGTAATAAGGTAGTTCACACAAACACTCACTCATCCATTCATTCATTCACTTTATATGTCTCTCGTTCTAGTAGGCTTTTTGCGTATTCACACGTTGGCTTCCGTTGTTGCTTGCTTGCTTCGATAGAAGTTAGTTGTAACTCCAGCTGGTGCATTGGAGTCGTTCCTTCATGAGTTGGGCGACCTCTTCTTGCGACAAGTGTTTGCTCTTGTCTGGTTCCAACTGTACAAACATGTCAGCCAGTCCTTGATAATCCCTCGCGAGAATCATTCCCCATACCACAAATAGGTTACTTCCCTGGAATACGGTAGCCTTGGACTTCACGTATTCGTCATGGTGTTTCTCGTACAACTCTGCGTGACGAGACCAATGCACACCGGCGTACTGTTTGTGTTGTGTAGTAGTTCACGATAGCAAGCAAGTAAGTAAGCAAGTGTGCGAGAGGAGCGGTGGAGAAGGATAGACACACCAGCCAACGATTCGATTCTGAATTGAAACTTCTTCCTCAACAAAGCCAAGCACTAGCACTGGAACAACAGAAGCACGCATTCACACAAAACAAGCACTCACCTGATGATGTACGACATGATATTCTTCAGCCAATGCAAAGTTGAGCGCATCCAGAATGGTGACGGAATTGACATAGTCATTATCGAAATCGTTGGGATCGATAAAGGCGTGCCATGTGTAATTGACGGCGGCCAGTAAAATGTTTCCTTCGATGAACGGCCATAGAATGTAGGCAAATGCCGTCATGGGATTGACCAGATACGCCATGAGTGCGACTTGTGCCATGTACTGGAGCGTTCCCAGAATGCTGTACATTACGCGTTGCGTCTTGCCCTCCTTGGCAAATTGGACTGCCGTGGATAGATTGAATGCGTATTGGAACCAGACTCCGACATACCGTAAGAACATGAGAAAGGAATCTCGACGGAACGATCCGGTCGAGTAGACGTCGTCTTTGTTGTTGTCGTATTTGTGATGATTGTAAATATGACTTTGGGTAAAGGGGCCGGGTAGGACGCCGTGAAAGAACCCAATATAGTAATTGTAGGTGTATTGCAGGACGTGATGGTAGGGTGCCGCAAATATCTTTCCGTAGCAATGCGCTTCTTTGTGCGACAGCGTGTAGACGTACATGAAATGTCGGTACATGGGGCCAATGCGCACGGCATTGTAGAGGACGGCACGCCACCAAATGAATTCGGGAGCGTTGGCTTGAGCCACGGCTTCCCAGATAAAGTAGGCGGGCAAGACACCTCCTAGCCAAAGGGTATAATTGACGACAAAACTGTCCTTGGGGTTGGCCACCAACCATTCCTGATACGGAGCTGTCCACTGGTTGATGCGTTCCAGGAAATCCACGGCGTGAAAGACGCGCTGATCCAAGAATTCCCAGAGATTGCAACCCACAATTTGAACGAATAGATAGGGTAGAGCCGGAAAAAAGATGAGACTTCCTGCAGCAATCTCCAAGTATCGCGCGACAGTGAGCTCATTCTTGGGTTGAATGGGTTTGTCCTTCTTCTTATCTTCCTCCTCCTCCTTTTGGGTAGCAGAGGTAGTAGTAGAAGTGGCAGCCTTGTTTTTGCGCTGATGCAGACCGGTGGGAAAGACATCTTCATCCGAGTCACTTTCTACCGAAGAGGAACTGCTGGTGGCTCCAACAGATACCTCTTCCTTCAAACCAATAACTTCCTCCTTGGACAGCACGATAACAGGGTCATCCTTCTTCAGGTCATCGACGATAACAGGGGTAGCAGCAGACATTGTTGCGAGAATCTACCAAGAAGGGGTATATGGGTATATCCAACAGAGAACAAAAAGGCCAATAGCAACCTGCTTTTGCTGTATTAGATCTAGCTAGCTAGCTAGTATCGCCCAAAGATAATAGCAACAAACAGATCCAAACCAAAACTGCTTGCGCTCCAACGAACAGATCCAAGCAAGCACAGTGAATGAAAGAATGAATGAGAAAGCATCGCATCGGCACTTGGTTGAGTAGGAATTCCTGCCAACACGCAAGCGGGTCGAATCTCAAAAGTCGTTCGGACACAAGAATAGAGGTCGGTCACAGCTTCTGTCACAATGAGGTGCATCTCAGGGCAATGAGGGAATTTAGGGATGAACAGCCGAGCTCGTAAGCTATGATTTAACATGGGGGAAGCCAAGATGGGAAGCACGGATTGCTTTGTATCCTTATGATACTATAGGATTGCTGGAAATCAATGACACTGTACATGTAGTCTACTTGATGGATGGATGGATGCGTAGGGTCTGCCTCACATGGCAAGAAAGGATCCATTTCCATGTAACGCAACGTTACAGCCAAGTTTACGATATCTCTATCTGTGTTCCCATAAATTTCCCCTAGTACTTGTACATGGACATGGTACATCTATGTAGCCTCAATGGTAGTTATTGGAAGAGCGGAGCAGATCCAGGCCCCAGTACATGTACATGTAGTTCGTCTCCCAAAAGGCAGAAAAGCTACATAGCCAGCTTGGCTCTTTTAAAAGTGTCACCGACGCCATCCCAGTGCTATTTTTTAAAAGCTAGCGGTACCGGTACCCGTATGGGTGTTCATGAGCTCTTTCATGAACCTTTCGTCACCCCATCACCCAGAGCTTGTTTCTCATTTTCGTAAATCTTACAGTTTTTGACACGGCTCAAGGACGTACGGTACGGTACGGATTACGGATGCAGGACCTACGGATTCTCGACCTCGCCTTTAGAAAAGCCGAGATCCAGCTCGGAAGCATTTTATTCCTGCTTTCAGATTGATTTCGATCTTTCAAGCAAGTAAAGCTGCTTGATCACTCTTGAAACAACAAATAATGTCTGAGGCGAAGCCTTGACAGAGATGCTACCAGTACAGCTGGCTAGCGTATCTGGCAAAGACTAGGTACTTGTACCCGATACGCAAAAATAAGAGTGATTAGTTAAGCTGAGTATAGAAAATACAGTACAAACCTTCCTGTACAAGGTGGTAGGAAATGTACAGTATGTAGGAAATCCTACGACCGTAGCGTATGTAGACGGTGGTAGGCTTGTACACAGCTGTAGCAATCCTACGACCGTCGTGTACGTACGCGACGGTGGTAGGCCTTGTACGTGCTGACATCATCGAGTACCGGTTCAACTTTAACGATAGACCCCATATTTAAGATAACGTGGTTGCTATAGTACTCACTTTTAAGATATCGCGGATATCTCGACCGTAGCTAGCACTATGATAGAGATCCCTCTGGAGTGCATTTGACTGGTGACTTTTGGGTATACCAGTGCACTCAAAACATACATGTGCAGGCAGCCAACTAGATAGCTTTGTCCAGACTAGCTTAACCTTCCTCCTTCTCCCCTCTGGAGCCCCTTCAACTAATCACTTTTGGGTATACCAGTGCACTCAAAACATACATGTGCAGGCAGCCAACTAGATAGCTTTGTCCAGACTAGCTTAACC